TATGACTTTTGTGAAAGACTTGTAATATCAACTGAAAGATTGCCAAATTTCGTGAAGATATACCAAATATATTGAGAGTTATAAGTATCAAATTTATAAAGACTTTAAATGAGTACAAAAGGTCAGATAATTTGGTCAAATTCACCGATCCCGTGTTGAGAGAGTTAATCTAGTGTTAAGTACAAATAATTTTGCTAGTTAAATATTTTTAGTGTAATATTGAAGGGAACCAACAAAAACAATTTCCAAAGTTAACAGTCTTGTGCTGCAGTAGTAAAAATGAAAATAAGAATGATCAACATTATGTGTTTGACACCTTTTAACTCAGCACTAAGTAGGAACCACATAAAAAAAGATATTTAAATATGTGAATCCCTTTAGTCCAGTGCTAAGTTGAAACCTAGAAAGTACATTTCCAAGTTTAACTTTTTGTTCAATACAAAAAAAAAAAGTCAGGTTTAATAATAAAATATAATACAATATTTATATAGGTGAATTATCACTGAATATACCTCAGGAGGTTTTCTTTTGTATGTTCCAGTTCCTTCTTGTCTAAGCTGTTCTAATAGAGATGTCTTTCCAATTCCTTGAACACCAACAATCATCAGCTTCATACGAGCATATGCCTTGGAACTAAAAAAAATTGGCAAAGATTTGTATTTTAAAACAGTCAAAATTTGCATTAGCTTAATGTTCACAACAACCAATGTCAAAACAAGAGGGAATCCTCAATAACTGCAGCACTTAAAATTCTTTTAGACAGGATTAAAGTAAATTAATCAATGAGACCTTTATTTTTTTTTTTTATATTCAATTTTATTACTCTTCAGGATCTCTACTAGCCTACCCTCAAACTGAAATTCTTTTAGACAGGGTGAGAGTAAATTAATATGAGACCTTGAGCATAGTAAAATACATCAGTCAAAAGGGTTTGATCTCCTGAGTACAAAAATGTAACAAGATCTCAAATCGGTGAAGAAAAGACGAAATTATGAGCTAAAAGTTTGTACAGAATTTAGAAAAAACAAGACAATTGTACATTTCACAAATACATAATTTATTACAACCATGGTTTTGCCAGTAAAGGCATCATCAGGTAGACTGATATGTTTTGTATCAGGGTTTATCTATACGTTTAAGGAAAGAACTGGAAGTGACCATGACATTCACCTAGAGACAAATGGGGTAAGAAGTGGGGAGGAGCTTAAGTTGGTTTGGTCACTTAGAACTTTTTGTGGACTTGTTTTTAGACATCTGTTTATTTCTAAAATTTCCAGACTGTTTAGTTTTTACCTGTTTCACAGATACGTAAAGTTTTGCAGTTTTTTTCTGAATCAATTGGTGTTTAGTTTCAATAAAGTGGGATGCAAAAGTTGAATAACATTTTCCTTAATTTCAAGCTTCTAGAGTGTTCTGTAAGCTCTTGTTTCTATGGGACGTCCTGTTTGACCTATATATACACTATTGTAGTCTTGGCACATTAATTGGTAAACACCACTGTTGCTGTAATTTTCGATTCTGTCTTTGTTTTTCCACAACATTTTTCCTAAGTTGTTTTTACGGTAGAAGGTTGGTCTGTAGATTTATTTGTTCAGCGTGTTATATATTTTGTTAGAAATATCTCATCTTAAACCATTTACTTTTCTTTTTGTTTGGTACAGTGTGTGTGTGTGTGTGTGTATATTGAACTTAAATTTATGGCTTTCAATTTTTAAACAACGTGTTAATTAACTTTGTCATAATAAATGATGTATTCGTGAAACATACAACTGTCTTGTTTGTCTTCAATTTTGTAATTATGGAGTTTCACCAAGTACCAACGGTTTCAAGTATCAATTATGTAAAACAAGCTAGTACAGTAAGATTAACCATCTTATACAAAAGACTGAATGCAAAACAGTGCTTAGCAACTCAACACCTTTGATTCAAAAACAAATATGTGATATGGAATCTCACCCCAAAATACATCTCTCTGAAGACCTAAAAAAGAAAGCCCTGAAATCAGCAAAGAAGACCTGGCTAAAAGAAGTGATCAATAAGTGGTACAGTGTTAGAGGCAAATTAATTGCACACCTTACCCCTTTAGGCTATGTCATCATGTTTGTTGACTCATATTCAAAATTTTATTGAACTACTATTTCATGAATCTATGTTAATATGTTTGGTATCAAACTGTAGATTATAATTCAAATTTTAGTATTATACCTTACTCAATTTGTTAACTTAAAAGTAAATACTAAAAACACAGATAAACATCAATTTTTGAGTGTCATGTGGTATGTTGATTGCAGCACTGGTTCAAATTATATGTTTGTGATGTTAAAATACTAAGTCTATAGTTTTGTATGAGTTAGGAACTAAAATTACCGATATTGCCAAGCTAGAATATAAAATAAGAACATCTTATATTTTCTATTTGCTAATATATTGCTCATGTAATAAATCACAGTGGCACTCCACCCACCTCTTCCATTTTTGGAAATGCTCCTTTATATACACATACTTCTATATATGACATGAATAACCAATCTCAGAATTTCCCCTTAGTGATTTTCTCAGCCTTTCTAACGTACCTAGCACCATTTCTTTCTTTTTTAATCAAGATTTCAATGAGGTATGTTGTTTCTTTAGTCTGCTCAAACTTTCATATCTTTTTAGACCCAAGTACAGCTAAGTTACTAAGCTTGATAAATTATAGTAGAATTCTATAGTATTGATGTAGTAATTTATGATTTTTTAGTTATTCAAATGTATATATAAAACCTACAAAAAATATTTTGTTTCATACCCTCCACATGCAAATTATTTAAAGGCTTAGCGACCTACATCAAGCAGCAACTGAGTACAAAGGTTGTAACTAGAAATGATAATTGTTTGCTTTACTTACCATGCAAAATTTTTAAAAGTTTAGCAACTTATGTCAAGAAGCAAATGAGTACAAAGATCTTAACTAGAAGAGATAATTTGTTGCTTTACTTCCTTACTTACTGTTCTATGTTTTATGAAAAATAAGTTTAAGAACTTATTTCAAAATAGCCATAATCTATATACATACATAATGTATAATAATTGAAATGTGACTGAATTTTATAAAATACTAGTCAACTAAAACACAGCCAAGACAAGTTACTTTGTACAGACCAAGTGTCACCTTTATGTTAGTTGATACGGTAACATGAGTGCACATGAGCTGTATCAATGTAACTTCTCTATTGTTAGCCAGGCATGGGTGAAAGGTCAATATAATAAAAATAATAAATATATATAAATTTATAATGTTATGAGATTTAAGATATTTTGTCTAAACATGCATGTTTTCATGTTATAATTTGTGTTCATTCTAGAATGAAAAAGGCATAATTTAGATTTATTTCCTAATCTTTTAAGGTGGTTGCAAGATCGGTCAAATTTACTGAACTTGTACCGAGATTAATTACTGAAAGTAACAGATAAAATATAAAGTTTTTTCTTAAGAAATGTTTGATAACTATCCAAACATTATAAAAATTTTAGATGTGAAATTTGAACCATTTGTGATGCATAAAAGTATTTTTAGTCTAAAAATGAAAATTACTTTGTATGTTAGATAGGCATGAAAAAACATTTTTTTACAAACCTTAAGACTTAATAAAAAAAATGTATATTTTGTGTATAAAAGTATTATAATGGTTACTGATAATATGTCAAATTTAAAAGTTATAGCACGAAAACTATAACAAGCACAAAATAGTTACGAGGTTGGTACCATGGACCGAGTCTGTGCTGAAAGAGTTATGCCTTCTTTTCTTTCAGGGGTCTTTGCTTCAAATTTTGCCTTTTGGATCCCGCTCTGTGGCGAGTGGTGCCTGACCAGGAATTATTTACATACACAAATAAATCTGCACTGTACGCTATGTCGATTCATGTGCTCTTTCCATGGCTCCACACACTCACCTTCAAATGGGGCGTTTCACAAAATCACTGGATGGTGAATAACCTCATGATATTTGCTTCATAAATAGGCCTGTCCTGGACTGCACCACCCATGGATGGTATGGGTAATGCAAAAGGGGATAGCTGCCCATCTCTGCCATGCCTCGATTGAATAAATAAGTATGGTCTGCTTTTCAAACTAGAGTTTCGTGATCACCCATTGCATTATCTTGGGTGTAGCCTTTCCTCTGAACTCTCCAATGCACTCACCTCCTTTTCTGCCAGTGGAGTATGGGAGTCCTTACCACTTGCCAGTTTGAAGCTACTGGGATGGTTGACCATGGAAGCATCCTGCTGGATGGGTTCCACATAGATGGCTATAACCATTCAGTTCAGAGTAGGGCGGTGGTGTTTTGCTGGTGTAGAAATCATAAAATCCTCCTAATTGAGTGACACATACCACGGAGTGAAACATCTAATTGCATGCGAAATCTTTAGAGTGTCCAGATAGTTATCAAACATTTCTTAAGAAAAACTTTATATTTTGTCCCTTAATTTAAGTGAGGAATCTCTTTACGGGTTCAGTAGATTTGACCGATCTTATAACCACCATAAGAAATTAGGAAATAAATATAAATTATGACTCTTTTATTCTAATGAACACAAATTATAATGCAAAAACACAAATGTTTAGACTAAATAGCTTAATTCTCATAACATTATACATTTATATATATTTGTTATTTTTATTACATACACCTTTCAGTGATGACTAGCTAACAATACAGAAGTTAAAATGATGTGGCACATGTGTACTCATGTAACCATATCCAATAACATACTTAGTAGACTAGTATTTTATAAACTACAGTCACATTTCAATTATTCTACATGATATATGTATATAGATTATTGCCTTTTTCAAATAAGTTATTAAACTTATTTTTCATAAAACATGAAACAGTAAATATAGAAGTAAAGCAAATAATTATTTCTTCTAGTTATGACCTTTGTACTCGGTTGCTGCTTGACGTAGGTTGCTAAGCATTTAAAAATTTTGCATGTAGAGGATATGACACAAAATATATTTTATTAGGTTTTGTATATACATTTGAATAACTAAAAAATCATAAATTACTACATCAATACTACAGAATTCCACTAATATTTATCAAGATTAGTAACTAAGATGTATTTTAGTCTAAAAAAATACGAAATTTAGAGCAGACTAAAGACACACCCTACCTCATTGAAATCTTGGTTCAAAAGATACCTCACTTATTGACATAAATTCATGAAATAGTAGTTCAATAAAATTTTGAATGTGAGTCAATAAAGAGATGACATGGCCTTTCACTCGTGACCCATAATAAAGACTTACCTAGTGTGACAGCTGCCATGAATGAAGTAAAGCCCCACATGGTAGGCAATACCCTAAGGAAGCAAAAACCGTGACTTGATGTAAGTAATGGGAGATGAATGTCTCAGTGTTGGTCCACATGCCCAAGTGCAAAATCTCCTCCAAAGGCTGACAAAAACTAGAAGCAAGGGAAAAGGTGAGGTGTCGGGTTTGATGGGAGGTAACACAGAACAAAGTACATTGGGAAGGGGACAAGGAGGAACAAGCCAACTGAATTAAATGATGAATCAAATTGTTAATGGTAAAGGGAGAAAGATATTGTGAGGAAGAAGGTTGCCATGGGATAAAGATACAGAAACGT